GTCGAAAACGAGTGGTCGGATCGACGGAAAATCAACGGAAATTGAGTTAAAATCGACGATACTTTCGATTGAAATTAACGACGAACGATTCCGATTCACAACGAGAAGTATGAGGGGTTTTGTTCATCGTTCGACAACGAACACGATGGTGGTTTTGGTTCGTCGAACAATGGTCGGACGGTGCATAGATCGGAGTTGAAAGAAAGGTTGAGGAGAGGAAATGGGAACATTTTCTAAAAACTGATCGGGAAAATGAGATTATATTTTCAACATTTAAGCAAAATGGTTAAATGCAGGACTAGGTCATTGAATTTCCTGAACTTCTTAAAATGGTCTATCAACTTTAAAATTTTACAATTTAATCCTCAATTTCTTCCAAAATACCAATTAAATTCACCACTTTATAATTTCTTAATTTTAGCCCCTAAATTGGAGCGTTACAATAACAATTTGAAAATCGTTGCATCTTGATCCTGTGATTCCAGCTTCAAGTACATTACTGTTAAATGTATTCTCAGTGGTCGTATTTTAAAAGGACTTAAATTGATGGGTTTGAACCAAATTATACATAGGATGACATTGCAGTTTTGGGACCAAGATATTAACTCGCCCAAACGGGCACTGAGCTAGATAGTTAGACTTAAGATCATAGAATTCAGTTCTGTACCAGTACTGGTACCGGTCTAGTAATAAATTGAAATGCTCAACTTCTATTTCTGCACACGTTTAAATTCCCGTATGGTTGGGTAAATTTTGGTCGCCTTGGCTGAAACATCGTGCATTGGTCGGTAATAACCATAACCAGAAACGAAATGGATAAAAATCCAATGGGAGAGTGATGAAAGAGAAAGATATATCAAAATGACGGTCAAACGTTGTCAAATCAATTGGTTAACGTATCACATTAATATTTTATTAGAATGAAAAACATTAATAGAAAAATTGATAATCAAATTCAAGTAATCAAAGTGACTATAAATTGACAGATCAAAGTGATCGATATATTATAAATTGATAATATTAATGATGAATTTAATACTTTTGAGACTTTAATAGAAAAATAAAATTTTATTCAAATATTAGTGACTTTTAATATAGTTTACTCTTATATAAATGTAACACATGATCGAAAGTCAAATGCAGCAATGATAGGACAAACATCGGTGACAGGATGTTTCTTTGCAAATTGCAATAGAACAAAGTTTTGTTTTTTAGAGAGATGAGATGAAAGTATTATAAATGGTTTAAATTTTTAAAAATAAATTATAGAAATTATATGATGAGTGGGCCGGATTTAGATGAATTAGAAAAGTGTCCCATCAGTTTAATTTCATTAATTAAATAATATATATTAGTATTGTTCTGTTTAAAGAGCTAATGATATAATTGATAAATAAATAATTAAAATATTGAAAATTAATAGTATAAATATTTATAATTTTTTATGATTAAATAATTAAATAATAAATTTATTAATAATTATACGATACTATATAATTTGCCGTTGTAGTATTAATTTTGATGATAATGATTTTAATGGAAGTTCACATAAAAAAACCCTACTATGACTGTCATTGAAGTCCATTTTTCACGTCATAAATATTTTTTTTGGGTAATAAAGAGAATAAAACTAAAATCTACACACTATAGCTATGTTGATCCTTCTGCAGCAGCAGCTGCCTCACCAACTCCGGTGGTTCCATGAATTGAACGCAGTCCATCCTCCGCTTATCCGCTGTCTTTGCCATGCAATCGGCAATGTTATTACCTTGTCTAGGTATATGCTGGAACCTCACAACCCAATCCCTCTTGATCAAGGCTTCCACGCTATGTAGAATCGTGAATCGAGAGGCACCATCTCGGGCTTGTTTCACGACCTTGATCGTCTCCATGCTATCAGTCTCGACGATGATATGACGGCTTCCCATATTCCAAACGCATAATAATCCACAGTAGACACTCCAAATTTCAGCTTCTAACACCGAGCAAATGCCAAGAAATTTGGAGAACCCCATTTGCCATTTACCCTCATGGTTTCTAATCACCCCTCCACAAGCAGCAACCTCTGCATCACTGCTTCGAGCTCCGTCTGAATTAATTTTTAACCACCCCGAATCAGGAGGTTTCCATCTACCATCATTCTGTAATCTTTGCTCCCTTGTAATTACTCGAGTAGCCCCCTTACCAGTTGCTCTTTTAGTAATTTCCAGCCAATATAAGCTTCGTTTCACCACCGAACGCCACATTATAAATATTTTAAATTTACTCTATTTGTTAATATATTAAAATAACTAATTACAATTACAATTATTTAAATTAAATATTTTCATATTCTCTCGGTGTAAATAAAAAGTTTTGTTTTTAAGTTTTTTTTTTTGATAATTTTGAATAATTATAATGTAATATTTATACATAATATTTTTTAGTTAGAAATGTATCCGATAGTTTAAAATATTCTCCTTGCAGTAGACATGCATGGACGATGAGGATTCTAAATCTAATCATGGTTCTTCTTTCTCTTTGGATATTCCCAGAAAAGATGGAAACGCCACGGTCAACCACATATTGGCTTCCTACTGTTGACGTCCAAATTTAAGTGAGAAACGCATTTTCAATATTAATAAAGAAAATGAACATGTACAATTAATTGTACGGAGCCGTAACAGTTTTGGGGTCTTCTTGAGAAGACATTAACAACTGGAGTAATAAAAAAAAAGACGAACAGCAATCTGGGCGTGAAGATTTTACTGGGTAGCAATGGTGCAGCTAGCCCTGAATATTGTTAAACATTACCAGCACAGCCACTGGTTGGTCCACCCTGATGAAGCCTGTATCTTCTGTTCACACTGCCATTGCTGTACTGGACTGGACTGTTAAATTAAATTCTTATACCTTCTAACTTCTAATTAAACAATTTTTTTATTAGTATACTTGTTAATTAAACATATATATATATATATTATTAATATTAGAATAATTATTTGATACTTCCTTGGTGAAAAATAATTTCACAAATCATATTCCGATGATGTCAAAAATTTATATTTCTAAATATATTTTTAAAAAATATTTGATATTATCTAAACATTCCTGGTATAATTATTTTTTCACTAATAATATATCTACTACTAAATTTTAGGTATAATGGTATGAAAATTATCAATGTTTATAAGCTTTTTAATTATTTTATTATAAAATATTTTATGTTCATAATCTTTCTTAATTATTATTAACATACACACTCTGTAGACACAATTGCTCAAATTCATGATCTTAAGGAATAACAATACTCCATTTAACTATTAAGATCACTTAATATATTAATATTAGTATTTAATTTTTTTGAGTCTAAAATGATTCATGAATCTGTTTACTTTTCTCACATTAGTATTTAATTTTTTTGTTTGTACTAATACTTTTGTCTGTGAATGAAAAAATATGTTATATAGAAATATCTTTATAAAATGTCTAAAATTGATTTTAGGTTAGGAGGTAAAGAATTAATATATAATTTTATTATATATAAATTCAATCTTTACGTAAGTGAATTTTAATCATTTTATTTAATGGTTATATAAAAATATGAAAAGGCACAAATGCCAATATTTTTATCCATCTTTTATGAGGATTTTTTAGTATTTTGTAACTGAGTTAATATTCGATTAACCGGTAATACTAATTGAATCAAACTCTTAAATAATTGTATAGATAGCTTTTATATTTTTATAATTTATAAAAATTAATTATTATATATATATATTATAGTTTATAATATTTAATGTTTTGTTTTTTTTAATAATAATGTGAGATGAACTTGCAGTGATCTCTCTCTCTCTTTTAACATCGTTGCAAAAATATATCAATGTGAGAAAAACATATAAAATTAACAAAAGTTATTTAATAAGAAAAATTAAATATTAGTGTAAGAAAATTAAACAAATTCAAATCTTAATATGAACTAAAAAAATTAAATATTAATGTGTTAAACGTAAATAAATTCAAAGATTAAAATGTGACGCATTCCTAAATAAATAAAAACTAAGGGGTTGTTTGTTTACTTCAGAATGATTAAGCGCTGAATGATTTAAATACTGAATGATTCAGAGGCTCTGTATGAATTAGCTCTGAATGTGACATGTTGTTTGATAATGATTCTGAATTATTCATAATGTACTTATGTGCTGAATCATTCAGAATATACTTCTGTGCTGAATCATTCAACACTGTTTTGTTGAATCAGTCAGCATTGAATCATTCAGAGGTGCGAAACAAACACGCTGAATAGTTCCATTCAGAGCCAAACAAACATCCCCTAAGTGTTGTAGTATATTTGAAGTTTTTAAATGCTTATGTGAGTGTGTTCTATGAAATGTTTTTTCACAAAAATAATTCGCTAAAGCATGTTTTTGAGAGTGTCGATTTTTTGTGTAGAATTCAACTCAGATTTATTATGATACAAATTAACGAAGATATAAAATAAAAAGTAAAGGGAAGAATAAGAAATTTAATTTAGTTGAAAATAGGAAATATATTTATTTTATATTTCTTTAGAGTGGAAAATCTATTTTAATTTCTACTTAAAATTTTTTATTTTTAAAATAATTATTTCTATAAATAAATTCTAAAAATTAGAATTAAAAATAAAATTGTTTTCACAAATTCCTTTTTTATTCTATTTTTTTGAATTGAAATTTATCCACTGCGACAAACAAAATCTTAGTTATGCGTCGATTATTTCTCTTTTTTTATAGTTTAAGATAATTATAATATAATATTACTTTAGAATCTTTCTTAATTATGAATATCGTTTGAATTTATGATCCGGAGAATAACGCTAATAATAATTTTAGTATTATCATCATCTTTTCTTACGATTCCCGGAAAGCAACGGCAAAGAACCAGTCAAAAGGCCCACCATTCCCAACCTCCCACTTTTCTTCATCTCCTATATAATGAGCCATCATTTGACGGTCTCTTCATACAAATCTTTCCATAGTTCTCTCTCCTTTTCCTCGACCGTTCCGATTACCAGTGTTGTATTCTGTTCCGCAACTGCAATGGCCTCAGGATCGAGCTGGACACCAAAGCAAAACAAGTTGTTCGAGAATGCTTTAGTTACCTATGACAAGGACACTCCAGACCGCTGGCACAATCTAGCCAGGGCAGTCGGAGGGAAAACCGTGGAGGAAGTAAAGATACATTACCAGAATCTCGTCCAAGACCTCGAGCAGATTGAGTCCGGCCAAATCCCCTTACCCCCTTACAAGAAAGCTGGAGGGAACAAAGCATACGATTACATGAATGAAGAACACAGGTGCAAGTGCCTTTCATGGCTTTCTTTTTAATTTCAGTCTACTTCATAATGCATGGCTAATAACTTAACACTACTGCTCTGTACTGCTTAAATGCTATCATGTGGTAATTTTTTAGTTTATCCGTGGAGAAGATTGACTAGGATCTGTTGTGTTGCAGGATGACAAATCTGAGGCTTTAAGTTTAATATGAGCCAGAACCGGAAGAAAGAAAGGTGTTAACCTTTAATAAAGCAAAGCAAAGCAAAGCGAGCAGTAAATATGTATATGTCACTATTTGGTTTTCACTGTGTATCTTAACCTCGTCAAAGTTGTTTCTTCCTCCTATACTTGCTTTATACTGCATGTGCTTTCTCATGTCCCTACCAAGCATCTCGTTGCGCTTGTCTACAAAGTTCCCCTTATGCATCTGTTTTTAATCCAGCATATTCCATTAATGAATGCCTGTCTTCCATCTCACCAAAACAAGTATACATTAAATAGCCACATGTATAACAATAACATATGCAGAACCCAAGTTTTAAATTAAAAATGACCAGATTTTGTCAAAACATTTTAGGTAAAATATATATATATATATAAGAATTAATTCAATAATTAAAATGAGACTAGAGTTAAAATCCAGCGACTAATAACAGTATTGTTTACGGAAAAGACTTAATAGTCATGGGATGGACTTTAGAATAAAGTTCAGTTTAGTAGCTGCATTGGTAGCCACAGGTTGAAGTCCAGAACCGATAATTAGGGGGCATGGGAGCAGGTCCTATTTTGGCCAGCGTACCAAACACGCGATCCTTCACCGTCTATTTTTTTATATCAGCGGCGTTACTGCTGCGCAGGCCTAACCTTGGGCGCCATTCAGCTTAGTTTCATGTGTGGTTCCTGTTTGAATCACTTTAATTAATGATGCTATTTCTATTTACTGTTTCCGCTGCTGTAAAATAAGAAATCTTAGTACTGACCTTTTTTTATATTTAATGTATGGACAGCGTCGGAGCCACACAAGTTATATGATGTAATGTAGTTATAATTATATATATTTTAAGAACCCTAACATATGCGACGAACATTATAACACTGTTTTCAAGTCTGAATAAACAGGCCGCAAGTGTTTTGGTTGTAACCCAGCTCTCATTCCATTGTCCTTTCGTTCCTTGTTTGTGTTCTCCACCTTCCGTACTCTAATTATTACTAGTAGCAATCACGAGGGTAGGCACATAAAATGAAATGTAGTGGCTTACTCTTACCTACTTGATGCCTGCTCCATCACTGTTTCTGTTTACTTATCCCAAGGGGGTGAAAAGCCCATTGTCGTTTTGTGAGATCTGCACTATCTAGGTCTTGCAAGATTGCACTATCCCAAGGCAGTTGATAGATATCGTGAAGGCTACAAAGCCGGAATAATGTGGATTCCACTTCTTCATACGTCTAGTCTGAACAGTATCCATTAGTGTGGTAGTTGCTGGCGTTTCACCAACTGCAAATTTATTATACTTTTTAAGGATAAATTACATTGTTTCGTCCCTGAACTTTTGAGATATTTTCCTTTTACTCATCAAACTTTTAAAACTTATATTAAAATCACTGAATTTTAATATCACTTTCATTATGGTCATTACCGTCAACTGCTCAATAGAATGTGCCCAATGTGCTTATTGTTGTTTCCAAGTTTTCAAAATATTCAATTATACCCACCTCAATTGCGTAATTCGCAGTATATGTTTCTTTGGGTAGAAGGGAGACATGAGGAATCAGATAATAAGAGAAAAGTTGCAAAATAAAAATTCAAATCATAAAATGTCGGATTAAAATTTAGGTTTATTTTGTTTCACAAAATTGGATAGTAAATGTTAGGCACATCAAAAGAGATATAAGAAAAACAGAGGATGAATTTCTAATGTTTGAATCCAATCAGATATTGGGAAAGTGAAATATGTTTCTTGATTAGTAATGTGCATTGAGCAAGGCTAGAGGCACAATTGGGTCATTTTGATCTGATTTGAGTAAGTAATTTAGAATTGAATTATTTTGGGTTTAGACTATATTTGATTTAAGTTTAAATTTGGTTAGAGTGGTTTTGAATCGAATTTAATTTGGATCTATTGTATGTCGAGTCAGTTCAATATTGAATCAATCAATTTTTTAATCGTGTCAACCTTTGGATCTTCAAATCATTTTGGATTGAGTTGGATATACGTATATTCGAGTATATAAAAAAATCAATATATTCTTGTAAAAAAACTTGTCCTTTTATTTGTCAATCTTATCATTTATGCTCAATTTTAATTATCAATCGTTCAATATTTTGAATTCAACATTTATTTAAAGATAATAATTTAACTTAGAACTTATCATGTGACGTATAATTAAATAAATCATTTAAACATGTTAAAGTATATTCAAATAATAATATCGGTGTAAATCATGAAATAATAACCTTTAATAAATAATTTTCTGAAAATGTCATTTGGGTAAAAAGGCCTCTCTCAGGCATTCCAGCTGCCCCCAGGTGATCCTACCTTCTTCGCATTGCAAGTTGGCAGTTTTGGCATTATTGCAATTTAGCGATGAACTCAGTTTTCGTAGCTGGCAATTTCTATTTAAGTGTTGGAAACAATATCATTTACAGCCCACGAAAATTCACGTGGTGGCTGTTAGCATAAAAATGTGAAAGAAAAGGAAGCAAATAACAATAATTATGAAATTGAAAGCTTAAAAGCTAACGCATCGACCAATAAATACTAACCAACGCATAGATGTGATTTTTAAATATATATATATATATATATATTCAAAATTTAAAAGATAAAATCTTAAAAAATAGTATAAAATTAAATTATTAATAAAAATATATTTAAACTGTATATTTTAGAAAATGTGACTATCTCGATATTCAGGTCCATCTCTGAATGCAAGCAAATAATGAAATCACGTCCAAGGAAAAGAGTGCTGTCTGCGTCTTCGAGAGTTTACTACTTGAGATTATATTCCATCTTAGCCCTTTGTCTGTGTTGTTTCCCCCCCTGAAGCTTCCATTTTCGCGGAATATACCTTTGGGCAAGGATCTGCTATAAATCTTACATTTAGATTTTGTTGGTCCCTAAAACACCTACCAGCCAGAATAATTAACGATTTCTATCCCAACCGTCAGAAGTCAAAACCAGGCCACTCCCTTGGGTTCATTGCCGTCAGCAGACCAGGTCGGAACCATGAACCAAGGGGGCGTAGTCGTCGCAAACGGTGGCTCGGGAAGCGGCTCAGTCGGCGTTCAGTTCCATCAATCCCGAAGGCTCCCGGATTTCCTGCAAAGCGTTAACCTCAAGTACGTAAAGCTAGGCTACCACTATTTGATTTCCAATCTTTTGACCCTCTGTTTTATCCCTCTAATCGCGGTGATTTCAATCGAAGTTTCTCAAATGAATCTCGATGATTTGCGCCAACTGTGGCTTCACCTTCAATACAACCTAGTCAGTATAATCACGTGCTCTGCTATTTTAGTCTTCGGGTTAACAGTCTACATCATGACCCGACCCAGACCCGTTTACCTCGTCGACTATTCTTCTTACCGTGCTCCTGACCATCTTAAAGCTCCATTTGGTCGTTTCATGGAGCACTCTAAGTTGACAGGTGATTTTGATGAATCGTCTCTGGAGTTCCAGCGCAAGATTTTGGAGCGCTCCGGGCTGGGAGAAGAGACTTATGTGCCTAAAGCAATGCATAATATTCCTCCGACGCCGTCAATGGCGGCGGCGAGGGAAGAAGCCGAGGAGGTTATGTTTGGGGCACTAGATATTCTTTTCCGTAACGCAAATGTCAAGTCCAAAGATATTGGTATTCTTGTTGTGAATTGTAGTTTGTTTAATCCAACGCCTTCATTGTCTTCCATGATTATGAACAAGTATAAGCTAAGGGGGAATATTAGGAGTTTTAATTTAGGTGGGATGGGTTGTAGTGCTGGGGTGATCGCCATAGATCTTGCTAAGGATTTGTTGCAGATGCATAGGAATACGTATGCTGTTGTTGTGAGCACTGAGAATATTACTCAGAATTGGTATTTTGGGAATAAGAAGACCATGTTGATACCCAATTGTCTGTTTCGCGTAGGGGGTTCTGCTGTTTTGCTTTCGAATAAGCCTAAGGATAGGGAACGGGCCAAGTATAAGCTTATTCATGTGGTTCGGACTCATTGTGGAGCTGATGATAAGGCATTTAGGTGTGTTTATCAGGAGCAGGACGATGCGGGGAAGACTGGTGTTTCTTTGTCTAAAGATTTGATGGCCATTGCTGGAGGTGCACTAAAGACCAACATTACTACTTTGGGTCCTCTCGTGCTACCAATCAGTGAGCAGCTTTTGTTTTTCACAACCTTGTTGGTGAAGAAACTGCTCAATGCCAGTGTTAAACCTTATATTCCAGATTTCAAGTTGGCATTTGATCATTTCTGTATACATGCTGGGGGGAGGGCTGTGATTGATGAGCTGGAAAAGAATTTGCAGCTGCTACCAATACATGTGGAGGCTTCTAGAATGACGCTTCATCGTTTTGGAAATACTTCTTCAAGCTCGATCTGGTATGAATTGGCCTACATTGAGGCAAAGGGGCAGATGTTGAAGCGCAACCGTGTTTGGCATATTGCATTTGGAAGTGGCTTCAAATGCAATAGTGCAGTTTGGGAAGCACTTCGGAATGTTAAGCCATCTAGTAATGGTCCTTGGGAAGATTGCATTGATAGTTACCCTGTGAAAATAACCAGCTAGCCGAGCAACAGTTTGTGTTAGATTCTACATTCAAATAGAGGATTTGTTTGGTAGGCATCACCGTTATGTCAGTGTCTACCTAGTTCTCAATATGTACTGTAGTCTGTCATTCTTCTTTGCAGCATGTTGTCAAATGCGTTTTACCTTTTCGTCTCATTTTCTTGCGCTGACATGCATATCTGGAGTACTCTCATGTTAGACTTGGTCATCTTGTACTATAATTCTACATGTATGTACTGGTAATTGATCTGCTTGAGACATTATTTTTTTTCCTGAAAGTTTTCGTCATTGTGGCGTCATTGCTTTCTATGTTATTAGGACGGCTATGAAATACCTTTATTATGTGACTAAAAGTTGAAAGCACGGCTATAGCATGAATAGTTATCAGTGGTCCTTGCTTTCCTGCTGAGTCGGTACATTTATTCCCAAGTACTGGTTTAGATGAACTTATTGTATATAAACTGCAATAACAACACAAAATTTGTGTAAAGATACCAGTCATTTATAGTTTGTGGCTGGACGAGGAAGGATAAAGAAGGGTTTTAGTGCTTCCTTCGTTTTTGTTCAGCACTTTTCTGTTGGAGTGAATTAATCACAAAAATATGAAGACAATTGTTTGAGGATGAAATTTGAGGCTTGTAGAAATACAATCCAGGAAGAAAAGATGCCTGGTAGAGCATGTATATTCCTTGGTCCCGGGAGTAGCAATTTTGGTTTGGATTTCAATAACTGTAAGGACGTTAACAGGCGAAAAGTTTGAAGATCTGCAGAGGTAGATTATGGGAACTTCTGCTTAATGGAGCCCATCAATTAACAAAATGGAACCACTGATGGGCCAAAACATGCCTAACAGGTAACTCTTTTAGACCTTCTGACCCGCTTATTAATCAGGGCTACCTTAGGCTTGTTCGTATTGGGCTATCATTTGTGATACAGCTTATTATACACGCGCTGTAATTGAGCGTGGAATATCAATAACCGATGAAACTTTACGTTCTCGGGAGACAACACTTGTTCGGCAATTTGAAGAGAGATGCAAAATTAAATCACAGATTAGATGGAGAAATTTAAGAATTAAATAATAAAAAAAGGGTTGTCACTCCACTGTTCTATGTTTGGAGTCATTATACTTTTTTCCTAACCCTCCACTCGCTCATCTTTTTCTTCCTCTCCTGAAACCCGACTCTCCCATTGCCAACGTCAAATCTACCACCGCCGCCGCCTTCGTTAACTACCGGTTTCTGAATTACATCTCAAATTTTAATCCATCTCATATGGGCGAACAAACTCCGGCGAAGCCTCAACCACATCCTCAATCTCAGGCCCCAAATGATTCCTCCTCTACACCGACTCAAGCCCAACCTCAAACCCTAACTGAAGACCCAAATAATACCTCAGCCGCGGCTGTTTCCTCCGTCACCACCGTAAGTACCGCCACAGTAGCCCCTGCTTCAACGGAGCTCGTCAATGTTCCTCTCCCAAGCTCGTCTCCTCCTTCGAAAATCCCTTCCCGCCCTAGAAAGATCCGGAAACTCTCCCCTGACCCGAACTTCTACACTAATGCCTCCCAACAAGGAACGAGCTCCTCCACATCCGTCAGGGAACCGCCTAAAACCGTCGGTAAAGCTTCCAAAACAAAACTCGCTCAACATCGAGCCTTAGCTGTGGTGGTTCCACGAATAATTGCGCGGTCCCTCTCATGCGAAGGCGAGGTCGAAACCGCCATCCGCTACCTCCGCAACGCCGATCCCCTTCTCGCCTCATTAATTGACCTCCATCCACCTCCAACCTTCGACACTTTCCATACGCCTTTCCTTGCTCTCACTCGAAGCATTTTATACCAACAGCTCGCTTTTAAAGCCGGAACCTCCATCTACACTCGCTTCATTGCTCTCTGTGGAGGTGAAAACGGCGTTGTTCCTCAAACTGTCATTTCTTTAACCCCTCAACAACTGCGACAAATTGGTGTCTCGGGACGAAAAGCGAGTTACCTTCATGATCTCGCGAGAAAATACCAGACGGGGATATTATCAGACTCTGCGATTGTAAATATGGATGACAAATCACTTTTTACCATGCTTACAATGGTAAATGGGATCGGTTCTTGGTCGGTTCATATGTTTATGATTTTTTCGCTTCATAGACCGGATGTTTTGCCAATTAATGATCTAGGGATTCGGAAAGGAGTTCAAATGCTCTACAATTTGGTGGAGTTGCCAAGGCCTTCGCAGATGGATCAATTGTGTGAGAAGTGGAGGCCATACAGGTCAGTTGCTTCGTGGTATCTGTGGAGGTTTGTGGAGGCCAAAGGAACTCCTTCGAGTGCTGCGGCGGTTGCTGCTGGTGCTAGTCTTCCACCACTGCAGCAACAAGAGGAACAGCAACAACATCAGCAGCAACCCCAGCTTCTGGACCCCATTAATAGCATTCTTAACCTTGGGTATGATCTCTTTCTTAAAGAAAACAAAGTTTGCTTTGTTGCATGTTTTGGGGTCATATGTGTTACTTGCATTTTGTGAAAAGGAAATGTCTCCTCTCCTATTAAGAGCTGGGTTGATTCTAATTTAGAGGCATTTAACATTTAAAAAGAAATTAGGCCTTGCCCGTTTTTGCCTTGTGTGCTAGAAGATTCATTTGAATAGCTATATTTTTAATGTAGGATTGATAGTAACTAAGTGCTATCTTTTATAATGTATTTCAAGTGCTACTTTGTAGACTTAAATGTTATTTTTCTGTCTTTAGCTCTTACTGAAGTGTTAGGATGTGAAGTTCCTGTTACGAATTAAGTACTTACATGCTTCAATATTATATGTACCTTGCAATGCAATATCCTTTTCTGGGGAAAAAAATTGAGAAAAGGGAGCTGACCGTCTAACTTAAGGCAACTGGCAGGATTTACATGAACATAAAAAAATGCCCTGAAATTCTATATTAATTTGTATAACAGTTTGTAAAGAAAGGAAGACAACAAATTGGTGGATTCTTCCATCCAGAAGAAAAAGGATTTAATTTTTTATTGAAAATGACTAAATGAAAGATGCTAATGGTGACTTCGACTGATATTCAGTAGCATTTATGCCACTAAAGTCAATTTGATTTTTAATTTCTATTTCTATATTTTTTTTCAATTTACATGCTACGGAAATCCTGTTTACCTCTTTCAATTGTTAAGGTCGGCTTTTGAGTGTTATTTCATATATTATCTATTTGAAAGTATCAAATCTTTATAGCTAATACACAGATGGTAATAGGGAGAGCATGTGTAGATCTTTGTTCATGGTAGCATGAAAACATCTTGATGATAATTTGTTCACGTTTTGCATTTGAAAAAAGATAATGAATTGATGTTTGGTCAGGACGGCAGTTAGAATTAAAGAGAACTACACAGCTTTTTTTTTCTTTTTCCCCCCAAAAGTGTGATATTACAAGATGCGTAACCTTTGGGGAGTCTCGTTTTCTGGGAGTTAAGTTTAGGATTGTTGTGGATACTCGCGATATCATGTTCAAACTAATCATTGTTTTATGATTATGTCTTTGCATCCATGATCATTTTGATGGTGAAGTTTATATTACGAGTATTTTTTAGCACAGATCCCAAATATTTAGCTGTTATAATGGTATAAGTCAAGGTTTGTACTTGTATTGGAGATAAATGGCAAAATAGGGCTTGTTAATCATTGTATGCTTTTCAGCCTTGTATGGTTTGTGTGCCTGAACTTTTTTGCTACATTGCTTGGAATTATAGTAGAACCTTCAGGTTTGGATTCCCATTCTACTAAATGAAGTTCCTTGAAAAGTTTAGACGATCTTTCTGCTGGTTGATTGTATGCAGCATCTGTCCTTTAATTATATTCTTAGTTTGATATGAATTTGCATCCCTTTCACTTGTTTACGGTAAAAAGCCTGAATAGGAAATATCCTACATTTTTATTTTGGTTTCTAGCAGCTTATTAGTTTCCAAATGCCACAAACATTCAATAATTAAAAAAGAAATCCTGTTTAAAGAAGTTGAGTTAAATTTCCATGTGCTATTCTAGGTAAATAATTACTTTTCAGCATAGATCTAAATTTTTAAATTGATATTATGATATCAGTAGGGATAGTAATGCTCTGCATAATTGACCCCACGTAGAACCCCAAGGGACTAATCTAAAATTCATGATAACCTATTAATTTTTGCAACAGAATTACATGGTAAATTACAAAAATCATCATGGGGGTTAAATGATCCATGCAGCCTGGAAACTATCCTTTCTTTCCTTGTTTGTTTCTTTTTCAAGCTTTAAAATTTCTTTATACTGCTTTTGTAATGGTATTTCTGCCTGTTTATATGTTATTAGGGCCTGTGCGTGGGGGCAATGATTGTCATTGGAGATGGAATGTTTGGATTTTGTCACAATCCATTGATCAACTTGTAAGGCAGGCACTTCAAAGGAAAATATTTGTGTGAAATCTTTGTTCTGAAAGCCATTGATGTTATAAGCTATCAGTCTTCTAACTTGGGTCTGCTAAATTTGCTTTTAGATTTTGAATAAACACAATGCCTGGTTGGTCTTTGTTAAAGAACATCAGTTTTAGATGTCAACTGTCGAATACAAGACGTTAATGGATTGCAAATCACTGCTGATTGTGAAATATGTCTCTTGAATTGTCTAATAACTGGTTGCATGTTTTATTAACCGATTATGGTTAAGCTAATCCTCAGATATGGACGAGCCATTGCTGAAGATGAATACAAGTTACACTAGCACCCTCGGTTTAGTCGTCTATAGGGAATATATGATACTGCTTTACAAATATATGAAAGCAATTCTCCGCATTCCGTTTTTCTCTCCTCGGCTCTCTCTCTCTCTCTCTAAACTCTTTTGTTATTTTTTTTGTCTTCAATTAATTTTGGCAGCTTGGCAACTTGTCCCGGCGATGACGTCGTATTTTTTACTAAGAGTGGGATTAGTAAGTGATACTTAAAAGAGTCCATGAGCAGTTGCAGCATCCAGAAGTTGAGAGAATATTGGTATGTTTGTTTGAGTATGAATGTGGGTTTAGGTTTTTTTTATTAATTGAAAATTTAATCCGTTTATTTAATTTGAATATTCATAACTGATAATTAATTGAATAAACCATTTAAATTAATTAAGCTTATCAAATAAACAAAACATATTAAAAAATGAACTTATTTTAATTAAATCAATTCAGTTTATTAAATTTAATCGATTTCTCTCTCTTAAAAACCGACTTGAACGTTTAGGCGAGGTTGAACCGATGAAGAAATCTGTCTTGTAAATTCTAACGAGGAAGGTAAGACCTTGAGACCCCAAGTGGTGATGAAATATAATTTATCTACAATTTATTTTGTAGAAATTTGTTTTTGTTTAATAAATATTTCCTTATGAAAACAAATGAAATTTCTTATTTTATCTCGTTTGAGATTTGATCTTGCTTTTATATATATTTTGTATTTTTCTTTCATGGGTGGTCAATTCTTTTCTAATAATGAAGGGTCCAAAAATATTTTTGAAGTAGCCATATTTTGTAAAGATTTTATATTTTGGTGGACACAAAAATAAAATAACATAGTGGGTATAATTAACAAAATCAATAACTACTAAAAGAAAATTTAGGTTTAAATTTAAGTGGATCACGACATTATTTTCTAACATATAATACCTTTTTTATTAAATTTGTTCTTTATTAATTTTTTTGTCAATTTTTAAAATTTTAACTCATTATTTAAAATTTATTATTGATAAAAATATATTTTAAAAACCTTTGTTGCAAATAAATTTGTCCGCCGCATAACCCTACAAAGATACCTATCAAAAACCTAAAAATATAGCTATTTGCCGCGTTTTATCAGATCGTTATTAGTATTATGATCTTGGAATTCCCGCTGTATCTGAAGATCCAATAATTAGATGTTTTTAAAAGTTGTTATTGTCTCCATCAGCTCCTCCAGCCCTCTCATTATTTCTCCGAATATTCCATTAGGTAATCCACATGGCAAAGAACCTGGGACGGCATTGGACAAGCCTATATTAATCTAGCAATTAGCTGACAGGAATGTGAAGAATTTAACGGGACAAATCATGTACAAACATCAATAAGCTGACACTACTATAACTTTACCGTTTAATCATATTCCAGTATCATACTGGGATATTCTCATGAATATTTCCTTGTTCTCTCTGTCATCTTCAATGTTGACAGCATTAGCATCTTATCCCCAACGATGACTGGGCATTTCTCACTATAAAAGTGGGCTGACTATGTAGAAAATCTACCAAGAACAAGAAATATGAATTATGAAAACTACGATCCTATTTTCCCTGACCAGCCGGTTGTTGACCTCTACCTCCCTATATGGGCTAGCTTACCTGCCTTTAGGTCCAAGCCAGCTTTCATTTGGTCCGAAGATTGCACCACCAATTCAAGCAAGACCTTAACGCTTACTTATGCTCAGCTTAATGATTCAGTGCAGTCCATTTCTTTTCAGCTGCTCAATTCATTACAAAGAAGAGACACTGTAATCGTTTTATGCACACCTGGGCTAGAGCTCGTTGAGGTTATTTTTGGGTGTCAAAGAGCTGGATTTTTGAGCGTGCCAATATTCCCACCAGACCCTTCATTCGCCAAACAAAACTATCACCACCTAGTCAGAGCTCTATCCCAGACAAAGCCGAAAGCTGCTATTGCTCACCACGATTATATCACAAAAGTTCAGCAATATCTCTCTTTGCCCTCCAAGGACAAGAGGCTTGCTGAGATGCTACAAAAGCTGAAGTGGATTCCCATTGAAGATGTTAAACGTGAAAGTGTAGATTCAAGCGTGGATTCTATGCTTTATAATGGCTGCAAACCTGATGAAATTTACCTGATTCAATACACCTCGGGTGCTACAGGGATCCCGAAGCCAGTGCTTTTGACAGCCGGATCAGCAGCTCACAATGTTAGAATAGCGAGGAAAGCTTATGATTTACATCCAAAGAGTGTTACTGTCTCTTGGTTACCTCAGCACCATGATTGTGGCCTTATGTTTCTGTTATTGACCATTGTATCTGGTGCAACATGCGTGTTGACATCACCCACAGCTTTTGTTAATCGGCCTAGACTATGGCTTGAGCTCATGACGGAGTTCAAGGCAACTTGTACTCCTGTTCCATCATTCACCTTGCCATTAGTCGTGAAGCGTGGTGGAATCGAAACCGGAAGCTCACCTATTAATCTACGGAGCTTAAGAAATCTAATCATCATCAACGAGCCCATTTACATGGCATCAGTTGAAGAATTTCTTCATGTGTTCAAGCCTTTTGGACTAAATTCATCGTCCATCTCCCCTTCTTATGGCTTAGCAGAGAATTGCACTTTCGTTTCCACGGCATGGAGAAGCAATGACAACTCCGGAAACTCGTGTTTCCTGGCTTTCCCCTCTCACGACAATCTCTTACCCAGTGCAAGACTTGTCAGTGATGAAGAAGAAGAGGATATGGACATTATTGTCGTAAATGAGCACACACATGAGCCTGTTGGTGATGGAATTGAAGGGGAGATTTGGGTTTCGTCTCCGAGCAGTGGCTCGGGTTACTTAGGCCATCCTTTCTTAACTCAAGACACATTTAAAGGTAGACTTAGCAACAAGGTCAGCCGGTGTTACGTCCGAACCGGGGATAGAGGAATTGTGAAAGGGGAAGAAAGATTTCTCTTCGTAACAGGTCGTTGCCAGGAGGTGATTAAGCTCCCAAACGGTCAGGACATACACCCTCATTACATAGAGACCGCAGCTTACAATAGTTGCCCACAGTTCATAAGAGGTGGTTGTCTTGCTGCATTTGATGTTTCAAGAATGATCGTTATTGTCGCAGAAATGCAGAGGAGTGAAAAGGATAATAAGATAGATTTTGAAGAATATATGTGAAAGAATCAAGGAGAATGTATTCGAGAAAGAAAAAGTTGATGTAGGGAAGGTAGTTCTTGTAAAAAGTGGAAGTGTTCCGAAAACAACTTCAGGTAAAATTCAAAGGTGGTTGGCTAAGGACAATTTTGTAGGAGGTAAAACGAATGTTTTAACGGAAATCAAGTTTGATATCAATGCTGGATTTTTACAGTCAAGTAATGGAAGAGGACAAAGAAGAGGAAGCGACAGAAGGGAAGAAGGAAGAGGCCTGATAGCTGACGAGAAAGAAGAGGTCGTTAATTCACTCTCAAGTGGTCCAATTGGTCGTCCATGGTTGTCTCGATTGTGATTGCATTAAGAATCTAGGACAAGGATTTTATCCGTGTGTGTGTTGTGCCCAAAAATAGTGTGAAAGGCTTGTTCTTAAGCTCCTCTTTGTATCCTTTTTTTGTGATCATAAACAAAATTTTTAGCTTTTACCATTGATACCATTCAAAAGTTTTTTTTAAGTAATACGGGGAAATATTCATTTATCGGAAATCGTATCAACAACGTCTTGTCAATTACAGACTGAACAAACACAATCGTGACTATCATAAAATCTTATAATGATCGCCCATAAACAAAAGTATGAACAAATGAAGCAACCTGAAAAATCTTATCATTGCCAACTGCAGAAAGTAAACCAGATTTTCATTGCTACGAAACCCTGCATTTGCAGTAAAGTTTCCCTTTCAGATTTGCTTAGATAAATCCACCTAGCATTCTATCTCTAATTGCAATAATTTGACAAAAAAGTAAGACAAAAGTGACAATACAAATAACATTTATTTTGATATCCAGCTGCATCATACATACAACTCTTTAATATCTGAGTAAGATCCAATCCAGCCATTGAATCCAACTACCAATTGCATGCATTTTAGATTCGAAGGTTCAAATAATATTTTTTTAAAAATCCATATATTAATGCACTAAAATCAATCCAGTAGTATCCAACTGTTTTCTGTTCAGTGTCTCATCCGGCAGCTGACGTGATAAGCGTCCTTGGTGACGCAAGACTCTTGAATTTGTAATGCCGTTGGTGGAAACTGTACTGCAGACAAAAATCATGAAATCAATACAACTTGGAAAAGTGCACCGAGACTAATCGGTTGCATCACGGAAAGTAAAGGCATTGCTGGGGGAGCAAGCGTGGTTATTTGCCTGAGCCAGAGTTGCAAAAATGAGAAATTTGGGGTATCCATTCACTCAGCAACAGGACCACAAGGTCCACAACTCCACTGTGGACCATCCCCAAAGATTTTTTACTTTTCCCTTTATCTTCTCACCTTGAATCCGTAGCTACAGTTAAAAAACAAAACTAGTATCTTTTAGCCTGTGTTGGAGTGCTTATGGAAACCGGTTTTATTGAAGAAAAGTCGAGGTTTATGCTGGGTGGTGGGAGAGGATTATGGAAGAAGCAAATCTACGTCGCATCAAGAGGCGAGTCTATAAGAACTATAAACTATATGCTCGGTCAATTGGGGCAGTGGATTTCAAGTGGATTAAAGATAAGAACTAGGGGAATCTCTCTTTTAGAGAAAGGCCCTGATCTTTCCCCGGCCTCAAACTAAGCAACCAAGTTGTCTCTTGTTGGGACTAGGAATATATATATATATATATATATATATCTGTAGTTGGCTTATTGGGAGCACAAAAGCAAAGACAAATAATCCTTAACCCTAAACTCAGACTCTATCCCAAACCCCAAATCTACCTCGTTTCCCTTCCCAATTTTTTTTGTTGCTCCTTGCTAATTGGCGACGTTTAGACAGTGCGTCAATGATGTGGTAAAGGCCTAACTCTGCCGTTTGCTCATCTTTTTTCTTACAAGTCTGTGATTTTGGTCCCATTTCACTTTAATGTCTTTTTTTTTTTGTTTAGGGGGTTAATTTCTCATTCATATCCTTTTATTTCCGTAACAAATCTCTCTCTCTCTCTCTATATATAGTTTCTCCCATCCCGTTGATATGGGTCTCAGGATTTTGGTAGCATGATGCTGAAAAAGTTAATATCTGGAGGAAGATAAGGAAAACCATCAAGATATCTAATTTGGTTATTTACGGGAATAAAGATCCATTATTAGTTGAACACTAGTGAGCTTGTATAAAATATCATAAAAATAGTTTACTTCTTAAAATATGGAGGTAATAGGCCAAGAACATGAGCCAGGGTCTTTTGCCTTCTGTCATCACTCGCCTGGAGTTGAGACAAGAAGAGATGGGAACCATAATGGTACGGTTGTTCTCACTTGCACTCAAACCCTAGATTATGTCCACCACCACCAGAGACAGCAATCAATCGGTCAAGGAAGATCTCCGCACCCGGATCGAGTCACTGTCGCCACTGCTGCAGCTGTTGCACCTATTGCAGTTGGTTGAAACACAAAGCCCTCCAGCTTCATCAGATATCGAGAGTGTCTCAAGAACCACGCGGCCAACATCGGCGGGAATATTTACGACGGCTGCGGCGAGTTCATGCCTAGTGGAGAAGAAGGAACTCTCGAGGCCTTGAAATGTGCTGCCTGTGACTGTCATCGCAACTTTCATCGCAAGGAGGTTGATGGAGAGACCCAGATTCGGAGCTAATCCCAGTAGAAGTTTGAAGCTTCACCTACTTCAGTTATCTCCACCGTTTGGCAACGGCGGCGGAAACGAGTCATCAAGCGATGATCTTGATGTGTTCCAATCTAACGCGGAGGGGGATGCCGCCACCTCCCTCTTATGTTACATCAAAGAAGAGGTTGTTGGAGTTAGCCGAGAAAGTGGGTTGGAGGATCAATAAACAAGACGAGGAGTTAGTGCAGAAATTTTGTGATGAATTTGGGGTGAAAAGGCTGGTTTTCAAGGCTTGGATGCATAATAACAAGAACCTGAAGAAGCAGCCACTTGAGTAAGAACTCTTCATTTTCAACGTTTTCGTACGATTCTTCATTATAAGCCACGGTCATATCTTAGAATTGAGCACTGTTCCCTGGTATTATATTTTTCTCTTTAAATTATGCTACTTTCTTTCTTTCTCATGATTTATCTACCACCGTCTGAAAGCAAGGAAATTTTAAATTGGGCAAATGATGGTGTCTTGTCTCGTTGTTCAAGTTTAGTGCTGATTGAAATGGTGAATTTCATTGCATGCAGGCTGTTGTTGTGCAACTGTTCCATCGGATCATGTAAGAATTAGTTCTTGCTCGTTGAATCTAACCCGTCCAACAAAAAGAAAAATAACTTGTTTTTATTGATTAGGATATATCCCTATAATCATTAAGATAAGAAATTTGTCACTTGAGGTTATATAAAAATCATACGAAGAAAATGTCAAAAACTCTTTTACAAAAACTCGAAAAAATAAATATGAATAGATCTGACTATATTAACAAACGAACCACAATTGGAGATCAAATTATTTAAAGATTACCAACAATTACAATAAGGTGGCGTTTGGTTGGTTGGAATGTTTACAAGAGAATTGAAATCTGTGAAGGAATTGGAATCTGTAGGAATTGAAATTCAATTCCATATTATGTTTGGTTGGCAGGAAATGGAATTGGAATCCAATTCCTTGAAAAAAATATTTTAATTGTTAGACTATCTTATTTTTGAGAAAAAAAATACATTTACCATATGATTAATATATAGAACTTATATTTTTAACTAATTTTTATAAGTATTATATTTATTTATATAAAATATAATATAATATTAAAAATAATATTATGGTCATGAGTGGATAAAGATATTGTTTTTCAATGGATACAATCTATATTTTTAAGTACTCAAAATTAAATATTATTTTAAATAATTATATATTTTACAATAATATCATTTTCCATCTCATAAAATTATAAAAGAACAATATATTAAATATTAAAAAAATAATTTTAACTACTCAAATTTATTTAATATTTTACTGAATCAATATTATTATGTTTATAATTTTGAGTAAAACACTGAGAATAAAATTGAGAATGATCCAATGGAAAAAATCCGTTATTCCAAGGGTACTCTAATCTAAAGTGGCGGGAATTGTGTATACCTATAAATTTGGAGGTAATGACATTTCTAAATTTTTAATTAAAATCTGCTACTATTAATAATAAATTATTATTTGATAATAAATTTTCTTGTAAACCAAACATGAAAGTATAATTTCTAAAAATATTATTTTTCTTGCTAATTTTTTTTCGAACTAAACGTTCCTAAGACAACTAGAAGATTGGGATAAGTCGAGCATCTTTCAACATATTTGATCTGATTCTAATTGGATAGTATGGGCCCAGGCTTATGTCTCAAAAGGCAAATGGGTTTATGGAAATGCAAATACTTCCAATTGTAGTTTCTAGAGGAAGTTTTTTAAGAGAATGCGTGAGTTTTTTTTTTTTTACATAATATAATATTAGAAATATATATATATATATATATATATAACTCAAATGAATCATGAGAACGAATAAGTGACTATATACATAGTTAATCTTTGATTTTTGAATTCTTTTTATTTGATATATTAAAGAAATAAAATTATTTTTCCTGCCTTTCCATCAAACTTAAAAAGAAGGCAACTCCTTCTTATGGTTCCTTCTTTTTATGTCTGTAGTGGTAGATCCATCCTTAATTCCGAATGAGCATGTGTCATCTTAAAATTTTATTTTTTTTAGTTAACTATTTATTTTATTAATTGTATTTAGCATGAAATTATATTTATGTACAACCTATACGAAAATTCTATATTATTAATGCAGGTGTGTTTATGTTAAAAAAATATTTATGGATCCATTATTGAATGCACGTGTGATATCATCTATCTCACTGATATCAGATTCCTTAGGAAAATCAATATCTCCCTGATTCTTTTTATTTACCTTTTACCATATTCCATTGAGATTTTCTGTCAATATTGATTGGTTCTCTCTTCAGGTTCAGAGTACAATTTTGGACGCTGAATTTCAAATAGGTAAGATGTAATGCTGCTTCTCATTGATTAATAATGATAAAACATTATGTTTTATTCTTTAAATTCCAAGCGCTTACGAAGCATGAGGATCGAAATCAAATTATGTTTAATGAATGAACGTTTACTGCTCTCAATGATGAAATGGAAAAGAAAACTGAAATTGTTACGTTAATGTTTGTCATCAATCGGCTTGATTAGTTAGTGTTATTTCCAGGGGGGAAACAAACCCTATGTTTCACTGTTGATTAGACGATTGCTTAATTTATTGTCTTTGTTTGAAATCAAACAAGATTAACATGGATTCAATAAAGAAAGCACAGAGCATTAGTTAGTAATACTAGTAAATATTTTTTTAAT